CACACACACACACACAGTAACCTCGTCTCCTGGGAGATTTTGTTCATATGCAACTCATTTACAAACATTATGTCCACTAGCAGCGTTTAGTTCCAGTTCACTTCAGTGGAGGTGTACAGAGGCTCAGAGGGTCACGTCTGATTCTTACAGTCAGATTTGGTGGTTTGAGTTAAAATGAACTACGTTAACTTTACGTTACCTTCGCCGTCATGGTTACACATTGTTAAGGTTAGGAAACAGTGGTGGTCGGGGGTCAGCCAACGGATTTTAATTTGGAATGAGAAAAACAAAATTGGGAAACAAGATGTTTTCTGTTTTGAAAATAAAAATCAGAAGGAAAAAACTAGCTGTTTTCTCTTTTTTTAAATAGAGAAAACAAAAAATGACCCTTTTTCCGTTTTTTTGTTTTGAAAATACATTAAAGGAAACAAAAAAAACGACCCGTTAAAGTTCACTGTGAACAGAAACAGAAAGTGAACGTCGCTCTGTTAAAGTCTGATCTTTTATTGATCACTCACCCGAAAGTCAGTGTTTAAATGTTGTGAATTTATCCAATAAGTACTTTCTATAACTCCTCCTAACCCTGGATCACTTACTGTTTCCTGTGATGTCATATCCAGGGCCCCATAGTGCCGCCCCCCCTCCCTCGAGGAGGCCTTGGAGGTGATGATGATGAAGATACCTACGAGGAGGCAGAACCTTACGTCGCTGACACAACCACATCCAACACTGGTAACACACACACACACACACACACACACACACAGAAACATATTGATTGATACTGATTAATAAAACGTTACCAATAACTTCTCCGTCGTTCCCTCAGAGAAGGCGGAGTCCGACAGCAGTCACTACGAGTCGTACGGGGATGAAGATGATGATGATGAGCCGGTGAAGGACAGAGCTCACTACATCCATTGGAGCGCCTCCCAGCCCTGCCTGAGGCCCGTCCCCGAGTCCCGGCTCTGCGGCTACCTGTGGAGGAGGAAGTGGCTCGGACAGTGGACCAAACAGCTGTTCATCATCAGGAACGACGTGCTGCTGGTGAGGATGGAAGTAACTAAGTACGTTTACTCCAGTACTTAGGTACAAACCTGAGGTTCCCAAAAACTCAATTTCTTTATGTTTTTATGTCAAAATCCAATTATTCTGGATTTATTTTGAAAATAAAAAACAACAAAACTTCCATTTTCTGTTTATTTAAGAAAAAAACATTAAAAATAATCTTTTTTTTTCAGTTTTTTCGTTTTTTTCTAATTTTTGTTTTGAAAGTAAGACAGAAAATTAAAAAGCAACCCATTTTTTTGTTTTTGAGAATAAAAAACAAAACAAAAAAACACCGTTTTCCATTTTTTTGTTCTGAAAATATCAGAGAACAAAAAAACGTGTGTCTGTGTGTGTCAGTGTTATAAGTGCGCCCAGGACCTGCTGCCTCAGCTGGAGTTGAGTCTGCGCGGCTGTCAGCTCGTCTACAAGTCAAAGTGCAACAGGAAGATCCAGCACCAGCTCAAACTGGTGCCACTGGGCTCGGAGACGCTGGTGCTGGGATACGGCAGCTTCCAGCAGGCCGACGAGTGGAAGAAGGTCAGCAACGCACAGAACACACACACTGCACACTCATTACTAATCAATCAATATCACATATTCACCAGTGGCGGTACATTTACTCAGTTACTGTACTTAAGTAACTCAAGTGTTTATTTTTTTATGCTACACTGTAAAACCAGATGAGTTCATTTAACTAAAATAATTGATTACATCAACAATTTTAAGTAAAACTAACTCAATTTTGTAAGTTAAAAAAACATTGTTGATTAAGTAGCTTTAGTAATTTTAAGTGGCATTAAATACCTAGTAAAAAGTATATATCAGGAATGTTTCTGTTACTTATAAAACTTGGTTGTTGCCACTTAAAGTTGATAGTAACAGCTGCTTTGTGTAACTTTCGAGAAAAGTTTCGAGATAATCATCAATAATCAACTATTTTTTTGAGTATATAACTATAATAATCAGATTACAGTGTATGTTGACTACTACTCTGCAACAGTAAATACATTTAACAGTATAAATTAATTCAATTCAGCCCAAAATGCAATCACGTAATCATGTAACATACACAGAGGTGGAAGAAATACTCCACAAAGTAGAAATACTCGGACTGAACCAGCTAACTGTGTCTTTATTTAGTCAGATAACAGTCACACATCCATACAGTACCTCAGGTGTAACTACTGTTATAGAAGTATGTGCAGTAACTGTATGTTTGTGTGTGCAGGTCATAGAGGAAGTGAGTGTTGGAGGTGAAATGGAGACTCAGAGCTCGCTGTCTCTGATCCGATCAGACCAGCGACTGTCCTGCAGGGTGAGACACACACACATATACACACATATATTTATATTAATGTTATATTTTGTGAGGATTCTCATCAATATTAACAAAACCCTAGAAATGAAGTAAAAACCAGCATTGTCACATTAAGCTGTTTTTCCACCATTTACATGCTCAAGAGTCTCATAAACACTATTACATAAAATGTAAAGTTTCTGTATGTTTTGTGTCTCCGGTACAGTCCAGTACAGTCCAGACTGACTCTGAGGAGGAGAAACCTTCAGCTCCCTGCAGCTTCAACAAAGACAAAGGTAAAATGATATCCCTGTTAAAGCTGCAGTGTTTACTTTATAACCCAGATCCTGGTGGTAGGGTCAGTACATTAACTACTAAAACTAGTAACTTTTGTTCTCTGCTGATAAAAAGTTTGAGCTAAATGTACTTAAAGCTTCTCTATGTAACTGTCATTAAACTGTAGTTAACAGTGCCACCAGTGGCCGTTCAGTGAACTACAGTCAGCGTCCCTAACGTTAGCCAACTAATATATCTATAAATAACAAACAGCTTCTAGTAAACAGACTAAAACTCTGTTAAGTTCTTTTAATTCATCAGGTATTAAATTATGTTAGTGTGACCTCTGATCTTTGTGTTTGATTGACAGGTTTCCTGAGCGTGCTGATGAACTGTCAGTGGCAGAGTCTGCTGTGTCAGGTGGAGGCCGGGCTGCTCAACATGTTCGGAGAGGAGGAGCAGGAGGAGGAGGAAGAGCAGGAGGAGGGCGGGGAGGTGAAGAGGGAGCGCTCACCTCAGTACACCGTCCAGCTCAGAGGATGTGAGGTCAGAGCCGGACCCGACACCGACCACTCCTACAGGATCACACTGAGCATGCTCGGTGACCAGGTGGCGGTGCTGGAGGTGAGCTGACAGCAAACAGGAAGTAATAATCATTTGAATTCATTCTCAAGGTCATATTGTCACGTGTCCGTCCGTCTGTCCGTCCAGGTGAGCAGTTCGGATGAAAAGGAGCGATGGTTGAAGCTGCTGCAGGACGGAGCCGCCAATCACAGTCACCATGGCAACAACACTCAGGAGCACGCAGGTGGAGCTCTCAGGTAAGAGAGCTTTTTTTTGTTGTTGCTGTTAGTGATTGTTAAAGTCAAGACTTTTTCAGAGTTTTTACAAAGCAAACAATCAATAGATTATTGTTGTAAATGATACAAAATATAACACAATAATATGATTTACTGAAGTATTTAAACAGTGTGTTATTAGTGCTAAAATAACTAATGGTTATTTTAATGATCAGTTAACCAATAATTTTCTCTATTAATCAATTAGTTCTTTGGTCCATAAAATGTCAGAAAATGGTGGAAAATGTTGATCTTTTTTTCCCAGAACACAAGGTGACATCCTCAAATGTCTTATTTTGTCCACAAACCAAATTCAATTCAATTGAATTCAATTTTATTTGTATAGCTCCAATTCATAACAGAAATTATCTCAGGACACTTTTCAAATAGAGCAGGTCTAGACCTCAGCTGCACCCCCACCTCTCCCCTGAAAGCCGGTGATCTCTCTCATCCCACTCCACACGTCCCTGGTGTTGTTGTTCTCCAGTTTGTCCTCCAGTTTTCTCCTGTATGCGT